CACCAGCCAATAGGCGCTCGGGACACTGCTCGGCGCGTGAAGCCGGGCAGCGGGTGAGTGGGGGAGGGCGCCGTGAGGGGACCCCGCGGGGCGGCGGCCGGAAGGCTCGGGGTGTTCGTGGAGGCGACTGTGGTGATGCTTCTTTCCCGTTTTTTCAAAAAATGGTGCACTTTATGATTTTTCCTTTTAATCGCAGCCCCCTGAAGCCAAACACCGGGTCTGTCAGGGCGCCAGGCCGCAATCAGAGCGAGGAGGGGAGCAGGAGGAGCTGGGGGTAGCGCGGCGCTGAGGACGCCTTTGGGCTCCGTCCTCAGCCCCACGTTGTGCCCGATGGCCTGGGGCAAGCGACTTGTTCTGGGCTCGAAATCCAGAGCAGCTGGGACACGGGCGAAATTTGGGACCCTCACTCGTTCAAAGCCACTTCCTGGCGGCTCTGGGTGATGTCTCCCAGGGCACCATTCCTCACACAGGAATAACTCGACAACTTTCCCACTCTGTCCAGCAGCTGTGGCTCCTGTTTCAGCTTTCCCCACATTCCTTTACTTGGCACAGGTGAAACACACCCAAAACTGGTGTATTTTGGGGAAAACTGGCTCTGGCTCCTGCCTGGAACATCTGCAGCCGTGGGCTGGGCTGGCTCCCCTTGTGTCCTGTTCAAAGCCAGGCTCGTTAAATATTTATACGTGGAGCCGTGGATCTGCTGTCTGCACGGGCCCTGTGACAGCACAACTGTTTCCAAGCCCCGTTTGGCCGTGGTTGCCAGACCAACCCTTCCAAGGGCTCTTCTACCCCGCAGTAATTCTGCCTGCCCAGGTATGTAACGGAGGCACAGAAATAGCAGGGGTTTTGGGACCGAGTCCCAGCTGAGGCTGCAGGCCAGAGTGTCGGGGTTGCTGCAGTTAAAGCCGTGTTTACTCTACATGGGCAGGAGAGATTGTTATGTGTTTTACAGAACACACGAAGGCAGCACACTGGAGGCTGATTCTCCTCGTGCAGCGTCAGCCCCTGTAGCAGCGGGTCTACACACGCCTGCCAGGGAGGGCTGGGTTTCCACCTGCTGTGATCGATGCAGAAAGAGCCGCTCTGTCACGCTGAGCCCACCCCAGCACTGGGAAGGGCTCCCCTGGGGATCAGGAACTCCCTTGGCAACAGAGCTCGGGATTCACATCAGCCTCCCGCAAGGCTCCGCTGGTTGTTATGGGTGCCCTTTGCCATTCCCTTTGGGTTCCCCTTATTGCTCCAGTGAACCCCATCTGTTCGCTGGCGTCTTGAAGGGAAAAGAGCCCGTGGTGCTGCCAGGGATGGCGGTGGCTCTCGCCAGGCACGAAGCAAAGTCTCTGCGGTGCCGCTGGCTCCTGCTCTGACTCCTGTTCCTCCCTCTGCTGAGCTGTCTGCAGCTGCCACAGGACTTCTCTGCCCCTCCAAGCTGTGGCTCTGGGTCCTGTTTGCAGGCCTGAGTTATGGCAAAAGTGTCTTTTTTTTCCTAGACAAAAGGAAGCAGTGCTGTGTTTTCACCCATCCTCAGCCGTGCTGCGGGCCCGTGTTCCTGACTGCTGCCCGTGGTGCAGAGCGGCGCAGTCCCTGCTGCTGAGGGACGGTGTGAGCAGGAGGTACCTGGGTCTTGTACACACAGAGGGTTTTGGAGGCTGGTGGCCACGGTGGCACCAGAACCAGGCCAGGCAGAGCGAGGGTTACTCAGATCATTGGGTTTTGGGGTACTTGGCTCAGCAGGAGAGGTGATGGGAGCTGGGCCTCTCTTCCTTTTGGGAAGAGGACCGAGTTGCGTGGAGCTGCAGGTGACAGGGCTGGCTTCAGCTGCACATCCAGAGTTGGCAGGGCCCAGGGAAGCCTTCTTTAACCCGATGCTGTTCTTCAGCCTGTAAAACAGGGGTACCCAGCCCACAGGGGTGCCAAAATCGCGCTAATGTCTGGGTGATGCCCTGAGAACAGAGGAAAATGAGCTTTGAGAGAAGTTGCCTGTTTGGGGTCAATACTGGATGTGCACAGCACGAACAAACCAGCCCTGCCCTGGCATTTGCAGCTCTTTTCCTTCCCTTTCAGAGCGCGATGTTCCTGGTCGGGCTCTCGGGTGGAATCGCGTCGGGGAAGAGCTCGGTGGTGGCCGTGCTCCGGGAACTGGGCTGTGCCGTGATCGATGCCGACGTTATTGCCAGAGAGGGTGAGTTTTGCATCGCTGATCTTTCTCCCCGAGGTTCCCCTGACAACTGGGGTTGATGCGGGGATGCGCAGACGGCAGAGGGTGCTCTGGGTACGGCAGAGAAGCCTTTCCCTCCCGTGTGGATGAGGCTGCGTGGAGCAGCTGTCTCAGGGGGATTGGAACTGGGATATATTTTTAATAAAGAAAAAAAGAACGTATTGTCCTGATAACAACACTACAGGGAGATCTTGCCCCGAGTTTCCCTCTCCTGCAGCGCAATGCTCCCTGGCTTTGAAAGCCAACTTGTGGCGCAGTAAATGCCCTCTCTGTAGAGCAGGGTCCTTCGCTGATCTGAGGACCCCTCAGCCCCAGGACACCCACCCTGTGCCACGTTGGTGGGAGCCCTAACGCGCTGAAAGAGAATTTCCCTCTGTGCTGGGTGTTGCTTGGCTGTGAATACTGAGAGATCGGTCCACAAAATCCCTCATGCATTGCTGTGCTCCAGTAAAAAACCAAGGGCTCCAAATAGCCCAGATGAGAGGGAATTCGGTCTGTGCTTCTGCACAGCACCCCTGCCCCTCGCCGCGCCGCAGAGGTGCCGTGCTGGCTGCAGCAAAGCCCCAGAGCTGCAGGTGCCTCAGCAGGACGGGAGCAGCCCCCGCTGTCCCCGATCCCCTGCGCCGTGCGGGGCCAGGCGTTGGTCCCTCTGTGCCGCGGGATCACGGGCAGAGCGGCGCTGGCCGCAGGAGGGGCGGCTGATTTCGCATGCAGAAGGGTTCGGGTCTGCAGCTGAGCACTGGTGCGGGCGCTGGCATTTGGAAGTGCCTGCGCTTTTTTATTTAGCGAAGAACTCGCTGCGTAGCCACACAAAGCTGCGATGCTCTTAACATTTGATTGCGCTGTAATTCCCCTCGAGGTGCAGAACATTTGCTGGAGGTGCTAAAAGCCCTCCCAGACGATAGGAAAACACCACAGATACTCGGTGTCGGTTTCCTACCAATCGCTTCCTTTTCTGCAATTCCTTTTTGATTCGTGTTTATTTGCCGTGCGGATTTCGCCCATCCTGAAAGTGCCTCCATGTGAAATTCCACAGGAGAAAGGAATGGCTCTGAAAGCCTTTTATTGGCTGGGCCTGAGGTTACAACCTGTGGCAATGATCCTGGATTTCGCAGAGGAAATTCTGCACGGTCTGCCGTGCTCTGTGGTTGCCTCGGCTTGATCTGAATTACGGTTTTATTACTGCATCCTTTCTGTTGGTGATGTCTTGGTGGCTTTAAAATTAGACGCTGGTGTAACGTCAGAGTCCCTGCAAACATCTGTTTGGAATGGATCCCTTTGGTTTCTGTGCAGAATTTGGTGGCTGAGGTTTAAACCAGTAAAACCCTCAGCAGCAGCCAGAGCCGCGCTGCAGCAGCCAGGCTGCGTTCCCCCAGCGCTGAAGTTTTCGGCCAAAATAAACCCGCCGCTGCTCCTGGTGCCTCCAGGATCTCCCTGCTCGGCTCCCGGCCCTGCAGGCAGCGGGAATCGGCTCAGCCCCGGTCCTGCCCGCGCTGTCAGCGCGTCCTCCCGCCCCGCTGCCTCCCAACCCCTCCAGCCGCACGCGCCAGCGAGGTCGTGGCGCTGAATTCACGTTTGCGGGATGCTGCGATCTCCCGCTGTCGGCCCTCAGAGGGACCTCGGGCCCAGAGGCTCTTTCGGCAGCGCCGATGCCAATGCCAATGGCGCTGGCCTGAGCCGGCCGCTCTGGCTGTGCCGAGTGCTGGCAGCAGATGTGCTGCCCGCCGAGGAGAGCGAGCTGGGTGTTTGATGAGCAAAACTCATTTGAGGCCGAGTGCTGATGCAGACACCGACCGTGCTGCAGCGCTGCTCTGACCCCCGGCTGTTTGGTGTTCCCAGTGGTGCAGCCCCGCTCCAGGGCCTATGGGCAGATCGTGCGTCGCTTTGGCACCGAGATCCTCTTGGAGAACGGAGAGATAAATCGCGAGGCTCTCGCAAACATCATCTTCTCCCAGCCGGAGCAGCGGCAGCTGCTGAACTCCATCACCCACCCGGAGATCCAGAAGGAGATGCTCAAGCAGATCTTGAAGTACTTTGTGCTCGGTAAGAGGCCGTGTCCCGGCACAGCGGGACTCCCGCTCGCGCAGGGGCCGTCCCTGCTCGCTCTGCCTTTGGTTTGAGAGCGGGGACAGGGACGGGGAAGGAGAAAGGGACCTGGTGCTGAGCGATGGCCTTTGTGCTCCGTCACCGCTGGCCTTTTGCGTCGGCGCCTGGAGGATTCGTTCCTGCTTTCACTGCTGCCCTTCACCACCTCCTCCTCTGTGGTGTAAAGTGCATCTGAGGGCCTGAGCAGAGCGTTGTGAGGCCTCTTCTGAGATCACTGGCGGGATAACGTCAGCCCTTCCGAAACAGCCAAAAATCCTTCCCTGCCCCCAGCCTCCCTGGGCTCCCATGAAAGCTGTGGAGCCCTTTTAGTCGCGATAAGGTGAGAAATGGGCTGACAGCTGTGGTTTCCAAAGCCCCGCTTTCCCCCTGATAAATAGAACAAATACAGCTGTCAAACCCGGTCTAATCAAATGCCAGATAAGATCACCAGCTGTTTTGGAGGCCTCCGTGTAGACAGGAGGACGTCTTAATAGAGTCAGTCTGGTTTTGCAGAGCTTATCAAAGCCGAGCCCTGTGACAGCTGAACGGGGCTGTGCCGGGCGCCGCGGGGCGAGGAGGAGGAGAACGCGCGAAGGCAGCAACAGGCAGGAAAGCCGGGAGCCAGAGAGCGAGCGGTGAACCCGGGGTGCGGGCTCGGGAGGCGGATGCTGTCCTGCCCCTCGGCGAGAGCGCCGTGCGCCTGCAGCGGCCGCTTTGTCCTCATTAGTCAGGTTGTAACGATTCGGGAGGGCTGGATGCTGTCTCCAAGGATCGCTGTGGAAGGAAAGCTCCAATCGATCAAACGTAGGGCAGCGAGGAGTCTCTGGGCGGAGATGCTGGGAGAACGGAGCCCTGTTGGACCGCGGTGTCTTTGTGAAGGCTTTTATTGCCCTGGCCAGCTCGGCTGGGGCTGGGTGACCAAGAGGGGACACCGGGAAAACGGGGGCTGTCCCCGCGGCTGGGACACGCGGGTGAGCGAGGTCCTGACCGGGCAGCTTTCCCCAGCCCTTGCTCGGACCCCGGTGTCCCCAAACGCTGCCCGGGGAGGTGGTGCCTTGAGCCCAACCGTGGCCAATTCGGCTGAGGCTTTGGGCCCTGGGGCTGTGCCTGGGGGCAGCCCCGAGTGTCAGTGTCAGGGCTGTGAGAGCTCTGTGAGGATTTCCCTGCTCTCCTTGGAAAAGTGGAGCTGTTTAACCAAAGCTTCCCAAACAGGGAAGAAAACTGAGCTGGGAAACATCAGCGGCAACGCCTGGAGAGATCCTGGTGAGTGAGGGAGAGGAGAGCAAGGTCTGCTGTGGGCGCTGCTGCCCTGGAGAGGCCAGCGACGACGGCCGCTGCTGCTTTCATTGGAGCTTCCCACTTCAGCTCCTCATTATATTTCTGCAGCTTCACCTTTGCTCTCAGATCATCCAGGCTAGGGTTTGTTTTTGGGGTTTTTGTTGCCTCTGGAAACTTGGAACAAAACCATTTCCTCCCTGAGAGAGGGAGGAGGCAAAGGGGCTCTGCTCTGCTCTCGGCTGCAGTGGTGGAGCTGTGGAGCTCTCCCTCTTGCTCTGCTGGAGCAGCCGTGGCCGTGGTGCAGGGGCAGCACGGGGATTTGGGGATCCGAGTAACGCTGTTCCCTTTTCTGGGGGTGCTGTCCCTTGTGCAGGCTACCACTACGTGATCCTCGACATCCCTCTGCTCTTCGAGACCAACAGACTGACCAAGTTCATGAAATACACGGTCCTGGTTTATTGGTAAGTGCCACGTGCACCGCGAGGACCGGGACACTGCCACCTCTCTTAGAGGCCAGAGCGGACCTCACGTCCCTCCCCGATGGTGAGGATTTGGCTTTGGCCTCGCCGCCTTTTTTCTGTGGGTGTGAGCAGCCACCCCTTCCTTTACCCTCCTGTACGAGGGGCTTCTTACTGAGGTTTCCCCAAATCCCAGCGCCATCGTACAGGGGAAGATCTCTGTCTTTGGGCCTCCCACAGCCTGGGCTCCGTTGGCCGGGGCAGGGTTTGGGGCACTGCCCTGGGGTTATGGGCCACGGGGCTGCCAAAACCACACAGCGGGGTCATTTTGCCGCCCTCCCGCCCCAACAGCGACCCCGCCACGCAGCTCTCTCGGCTGATGCAGAGGAACGTGCTGTCCCGGGCGGAGGC